AAATGTCCAGTGCTTTATTTTTCTGTGGAAAGTTTTCCATTTAAAAAAATTCATTGTTTCAGAAAATTCATTAGTAACAATAAATGGATGCCAATACAATATTAGGCAAGCTTGGAAGTTCAAAGTTGTAATTTATGTTTTTCAGGTGATTATCCTTAGGAAGTGTGTGAGAGAGTACATTTACGATTTATTGATTTGTAAACAGGAGGGTAAATCCACTCACATAATAATCCAAACCAAAAATCAAGTTATGAATTCACCTAATTGGCTGTGCAGGCCAACTGAAATTCTTATGTCATTTCAGACAGCAAGTTAATGCAGAACTAAAACCGTGATTAATTTTTGTTTCACTATCAGTTCAGCAAACACAAGGAGTGTCTCATTTCTTTTCTTAAGTTGGAGAAGTTGGAAGTGTTTAGATAAGATCTGTTAGTTTTTTAGTACTTTTGCTTTGAAGTAGTCATAATAATGCCGAATCAGAAAAAAACTAGTGTGTGGCATCATTATAGTGAAGTTCAAGCCACTGAAGGAAGGAAGAAAGTTGATAGATGTAAATAGTGCAGGCAGGTGGATGCTAACAATGCAACAAGAATGAAGAAACATTTAATCACATGTAGGAACTGTCCTGAAAGAGTACAAGCCATATACATAAAGTTAATACAACCAAGTGTTGGAACAACAATATCTGAGAAAAGTCTACTTCAGGAATCCTATGTGCATAAACAAACTGATATGTTAGACAACACACAGTACAGACTAGCATCTATAGTTTTAAAACATCATTTTAAAAGTTGCTAAGGCAACTCTGGGCTATTATTTATTTATTTATTTAAAATTTTTGCAGCCTGGTTTTCTGCTTGCAGTACGTACCCGAAGTGGCTTAGGCTTAACAATATATATATATTTTTAAAATTACATAATAGATAAATAGTTAACTATTTCAGCCCAGCAGAGTGACCTTAGTCTTCTGGTCAGTGGCAGAGGCCAGACAATACTTCCTTTTGGCTCTGCAATCCCAGGGCAACTGAGCAGCAATGTGAGCAGCAGAGTGTTCTTTCTGGCAGGGAAAGGGGAAGCAAGCTCCCTGCCGCTTCTCCTTCTCCTTCTGATGGATGAGGCCAGACTAGAATCGGTTAAAATAAAAATCTGTTCCACCTTTTGTTGCAGGAACTTGGTAGCTCAAGTGAAATAGCATATTTGCAATAAATGGAAAATGAAAATGTTGAGCTGTTGGATCTGGGGGGAAGTAGGATCCTCACTTTCAAGGTCACAGGCACCAGATATGTGATCCACCATGAGTATCTGTTCAAGACAGTCAAACTTTTTATCAAGCTTTGTGGACAAAATGTCAAAAGAAGATTAATAAAAAGCATATGAGACATTAGCTTGAGCTATATTTGCAAGTGGTACACCTCTTTCCATAACTGAAAATCAATAGTGGAAGGAACAGTACAAACTAATTCACCCATCATATAAGTTACCATCACGTTATTTCTTATCACATTCTCTCTTAGATAGAGAGTATGACAGAGTACAAATAATGGTTATTCAAAGGATTGGTCAAGCAGAATCACTGACTGATGTCAGATGGATAGACTGATATACAAGGAAACCCTTTATTGAACATAATAGTAACACATGAACCAATATTCCTGAAAGCAATTGCTACCAAATCTTCTTGTCATACAGGCGAATACCTAGCCAAATTACTGAGTGAAGAGACTGAAAGCGCAGGTCCCTCCAGGATGCAAGCCCTTGTAACTGATAATGCGAGTAACATGAAAATTGCATGGCAAATATTAAAGGCAAAGTATCCTCATTTAATAGTATTTGTCTGTCTTGCTTATGGGTTGAATCTTCTGGCAAAGGACATAGTAAGTGTGAATACAATGAAGACAATATGGGCAAACTGCAAAGCAATTGTGAAGGTATTCAACAATCGTCATGTTGCTAATCAGACTTTGAAGAAATTACAGAAAGAGAAGCAGGGGAAGGAAAATGCACTTTTATTGCCAGGAAAAATTAGATGGGGCTCAGCTACAAAGCGTTTACTTAGTTTGCTGAGCACAAAGAACTGTTTGCAGTGTGCTTCAATAGATGACACAGTATCCCAGATTATTACCGTGAACATAGGGAAGCGGACTCTCGACATCACTGTGTTCTGCGTTCGAGTTTGAGGAGCATTCAATTTTCTACTACCATTTTCAGTGGCTATCAAGAAACTTGAAGGCAATACACCAAGCCTTCCAAATATTCCAGAGATTTTTCAGACAACTGAATGAAAATCTAATTGAGCTTTTGCCTTCTTCACCTCTATCTAAAGAACAAATAGTAAAACAAATGTTTACTAAGAGATCTGAGTTTTGCTCTCATTCAGTTCATCTAGCAGCAAACCTTTTGGATCCTCAACACAGAGGAAAACATGTATCAGAAGATGAATTATCTACTGCTCTCAATACAATTATGGAAGTAGCTAAGAATGTCCCCAACATTGATGAAGTAGCTGTGATGACAGACATTGCCAAGTACTGCACAAAAGACAAACTTTGGAGCAAAGACATCATTTGGCAGGCAGCAGAGAATATGTCTCCTCTCATATGGTGGAAGGTATACTGTAACGTTGTCCAGGATTGCTCTAAGAATCCTAAGCATTCCACTAACAGCAGCTTCTTGCGAATGGAACTGGAAGGCTTTCAGCTCAATCAAGACAAAAAAAGAAGAATAGACTAACAAATGAACGCACCAGTAAGCTTGTTTCTATTTTTCAAAATCTCTTGCTTCTAGAGAATCCGTCAGAAGCACAATTAGTGAAGAAGATGAAGCGTGGTGATAAGTTGTCCTTGCCCATGGACTCATTGGTAAAACCATCCTTTAGCGAAAGACAATGTGGTTCAAGTAGTTCTGAATCAGGTTTGCCTCAATCTGATTCTGAAATGGAACTAATAAGTAGTGCAAGTGATTTTACACAGATAGTGACAGTGAAACTGGAGGTGCCACAGTGACCTCAGTGGAAGAGAGTTAAACTCTGATGAAGTAGGTGAGTAGACAACCACAGCACACCACGCACCGTTCTTTGGGTATGCCAAAATTAGTGTGTGAACAGTCCCTTCGTTTTTTTCTTAAATTTAAACAGTGTAAGGGAAGTACATGCTATTGTGTATTGTCTTTACATTTTTACAAGTATTCCAATAAAAATAAATTTAAAGCTTTGAATTTGTTTGAATATAACATTTAAACTACATTAAGTATGCTCTAGTTATTTTTTTTCCTAATCAAATATTTCAGTTCAAATACTTGTGGCTATTGGGACATAACATTTACATGGGGTCCTTTTTTTAGTTTTGTTTACAAAATATAAATCAAATAAACTTGCTAACTCAGATCATGCTCTATTTAGGACGTTAGAAACATTTTCAGAAAATGTTCCTATTCAAAAATTTCAGAAAATTTTCCTATTCAAAACTTTCTGGAAAACCCACATTACTGCTCATAACTACTTGCCCCCTGAGTTGCCTGTACCCACCTCTGCAGGGGTGATAAGGGATGACTTTAAGAGGACCCTCCAAAAATTATATTCTAGATATGGAAAATTGTATAAAAATTATAATTTTTTAATGTTTAGAACAGGCGTGGGCAAAATGAGGCCTGTGGGCCAGATGCGGCCCACCAGGCCATTCTGTCCGGCCCGCGGGGCCCCTCAGAAATTTAGAAAATTAATATTTATCGCCCCTGGCTGCCTGTCATGCAGCCCTTGATGGCTTGCCAAAACTCAGTAAGCAGCCCTCTGACTGAAATAATTGCCCACCTCTGGTTTAGGGCCTAATTATTGGGTGGTGGGTCCTTTTAAACTCAGAGTCCTCTTACATTTGGGTAAATGCTGTATGTGTACCTGAACTGCCATTTGGGAATAATTTTGTATAGAAACAAGGGCTAAACCTTGGACAGCCCTTCTTCAATGTTATGATAATATTTTAAAATAAAAGCTACAGTGAAGTATTGAATGAATATTTGCTCAAGAATTACTAACCAAATTAATTTATTGGGATATACCCTTTCAATTCTTCCCATTCATTATTCCTAACCTCCATCCTATCCCTCTGTTTCTGCTGCCAAAACACTTGTCCATGCTTGACTCAGCTTGCCTGTCTTCTTCAGAGTGACTTTTCTCTGCCCCAGTATTTCTATACATAGTACTGCTGCTACAAATCTCTTCCTGCAATCGCCATTTTCTTTATCTTGAAAATTTCCATTTTGTCCCTTTTTTCTATTGTGCAAAAACCATGTTACAATGTTATAAGCTCCTTAAAAGTAGGGACTTTGATATCTATAAAGAGTAATATAGATTTATGGAAAAAGTAACATGGGTAAAGGCACTCCAAATGCAGTAGATTTAATTGTGGACATTTGGTGGCAGTAATTAAAAAATGTAGTTGTAACTAACTTTCCAGTTTCTCTGCAAAATTTAGATTCTGCAAGAAGATCTAAGTCAAGGCTCTGTGTACAGATCCATTTGGAAATAATGGGCCTAAATTATGGAGTTGTTACCATGGGTCCAGAAGTATGAGGTGTCCAAAAAGGAAAGATGTTGCTATCTTGTAGCCCCTTTTAAAATTGTCCCTATATTTTTGTACACATTAAAAACTTGAGTGCTGCATAAAATAGGTATGATGTGGAGATCATCTGCCACTAAGTGGTTACAACAGACTCATTTTTAACATGATAAAATTTGTATTGACCTATTTTCCACCTAGGTTAGCCTCATTAAGGTGCTATTCATGCTATAACTTTCAACCGCCAAACTAAATTTTATTGTTTACTGCTGGCATACTACTTCTTAAACTAGAAGCGATTGTTTAGATGTGTGGCTGTTTCTGTTGATTGATATAAGGCCAGAGGAGAAATAAGATAATTGGTCTCACTGTGGAATGTATTCCTTCAGTAAAGAACATTCACAGAATAACTCACTTATTAAAAAGTCAAACTTTTTTTTTATCTGATAGGAATAAAAGAGAGAAGAGAAGATCAAGTCTGGTACTTGAAAATATCAAAGTTGGCACTGGCTTTAGCAATTATTCACTCAAAACCACCAGAAAAAAGCTGCAAAGAATACACAGAGCAACTTGCCAAAATTCTATCTGAACAAGATTTTAACTGGAGATCAAAAATTAAAACATTAGAAGCTGAAGTTCTTCGATTGCGTCAGGAAATTCTTTTGAACAAAATCTGTCCAAGACTCTGCTTGGAAAATGGTAAGTCTCTCACTATATTAGCACTTAAGGAAAAGGTGCTGTTTTTTATTCTTAACATCAAACATTATGTTTGTCATGTATAGATAAGACACTTGCATTTGTGCATTTAGTGCAGGACTTAAAGTTTGTTTTTCTAAAATATTACAATAGTGAGACATTAATTTCAGTTATGACAGGAATTAGCCAGTGAATTTGAGATTTATCCTGAAATTATAAAATGTTATGCATAGGAGAAAATTTTTTATATTGTGAGTCTTCAGAATCTGGGTTATTACTATATACAGACAACAGCAAATTTTTCAGATACTTACAGTATAACTACTGTTATTAGTTTAATGGGAACATCAGTATATACCATATTTAGATTTGGAATACGGTATAATAAGCTTCATTTTTGTTTCTCTGTTACTACACTAAGAAGGCTTAAAATTAAAATTTGCAGCAAATATGTAGCTTTTTATTCTTTTTTAAAAACAACTGTACATTATGATAATGTAATGATTTTCTAATTCATATCAATTTAAGAAGTTCTCAGAACAGAAAATTTGGTCAATCTTTAGCCATATGCTTTTGCACCTGGATTGTAGTTTCACTTTTTGTCTACAGCAAGGATTTCTGCCCTTTATTTTTCCAAATGGAGAGGAAATAGATTTTTGACTTAGTAACCAGTCATAATGGTGAATGGATAAGTGGAACAGTAGTTATAGAAATGTTCTTAGAGCAGATAACAGAACAAGGAGCAATGTTCTTAAGTTGCAGCAAGGGAAGTTTAAGTTAGATATTAAGAGAAGCTTTCTCACAAGGAGGGTAGTGAAGCACTGGAACAGGTTACCCAGAGAGGTGGTGGAATCTCCATCCTTGGAGGCTTTTAAGACCAGGCTAGACAAAGCCTTGGCTGGGATGATCTAGTTGGGGCTGGTCCTGCTTAAAGCAGGGGGTTGGACTAGATCAGGCTTGTCCAACATGCAGCCCGTGAGCCGCCATGCAGCCCTCCAAGCTGTTTTCTGAGTCCTGAGGTGCTGCGATGGGAAACGAAAGTAAACACTGTACTTTTGTTTTGGGGGGTGATGTGATACCGCTTCCTGTAAGGTCTTTGAATATGGCTTGCCGGCCTAATGGGTGATAAAAAGTTCATGATCCAGCCCCACATTCAAAAAGGTTGGACACTCCTGGATTAGATGATCTCCTGAGGTCCCTTCCAACTGTAGTTTTCTATGATTCTGTGATTCTATTAAATGCACAGAATAACTTTCAACTCTAGAAAATGAGTGAATTTTAACTCCAAATTGCTTAACTCTTTGTATCCCTCTCCTCTTTCCGATTTAGGGTTGTTTATAGGTCTCATTTTTTGCAGCTTTTTAGTTCTTGTCCCTTTGCCCATTTTTATGTATGTTTGCTTTTATTTTTTGTATATCTCCTGCCTCCTTTCCTCCTTCTGCATAACCCATCCCAAACTCACAGAGCTGCTTTAAACAGTATTGGAATAAATGGGACTTAACACCTACTGCTTGTTGCAACTGCGCAGTCAGTGACTTAATATTCTGAAAAGCTGAAAAGACTAGCATACATATGATCAGGATAGACCTCTGTCTGTCTCCTTCCTCCCTTCCCAACCCCCACACCCCTGACACACACATTGATTGCAGGGTATTCTAATCAAGGGAACTGCAGTCCACTTCACTTGAAGCCTCTGCACCTTAGGCTTATTTTGCAGAATTTCTCCCTAGATTCTTGGTCTATTGCTGCATGTAAAATTGTAGCTTTGCTCAGGCAGGTGGTTTTCCTTTTGAGATGAGCATATAAAATGAGGGATATGTTGGGGCATGGAGTCTCTGTCAAAAGGTACTGATTTTTTTGCACCTCCTGTTCAGTCACAGAGATTCAGATTCAGATCTGACCTAAGAGAGTACAGTCAAGCAAGCTGCACTCTCTTCCTCACACAGACAACTTCTTGTATAAGGAACTAGTCTACAACAATCTCAGCAGTATCCAGCACACAGACTCAATGATTAGTACTGCAGAACCTGGAGTTTTCTCTCAAGTTGTATTAATTGGAGTATTTCTTCTTTTCAGATTCAGTCCTCTCACTGTCGTCAATTTGGCCAGTCTCAAAATGCTCAAGGAATCATGTTCCAGAATTTAGTATTAGTAGTTGTTCTACAGGCTTCTTTATAAGATGTAATTCTTTACTGTGGTGTTTATAAAAGCCACCAATCTACTTGAGTATTCATTCCATGAATTTCTTGTGTTTTGGAAACTCATGTTTTCAAAATGCTACAACTAACCTTCTGAATTAATAGTTTCTTTCTTCAGATTTCCTTTAATTCAAGGTGGCACCCTTAGCTGTGATTACCTTAGCCAGACAAGTGGAAGAAATGAGCCTTTCCTTGTAATTTTCCATTCATTGCTTCTCTCCTCTGTCAGTATTGTCCTGAGAACTGTACCCAGCTTCATTTCATGGGAAAAAATGAGCTTTCATATTAATCAAGAGATTTCTTTCCTTTCTTCTCCTGCAGACTGAAATGTGACAAAGAAAAGATCCCTGGCCTTTTTCCAGGAAAAAGGGCATGAATCATTCAGGTCAGATGACAATTTCTCTCTTGATTTGGATCAGCACAAAAAGACAAAGCAGTTTACCAAATGTTGATTTCTCTATGGATTCGTTCAGCTATCCTCTGAAAGAGGATTCCTTATCCATTATCAGTAAAAGCTCATCAAATCAAGGATCATGCTGGCAGGAAACTGAAGCGGCCTCTGTAAAAGAGATTTGAAAAGCTCGCACCTGGTATTGCAGCTCAGGAAGGCGTTATTAATCTTGAAAGGGGCAAAAAAGAGAGGATTGTCGCCACTACTCCAGCATACATCTGGAGAAGAAAGTGTTAGAAGGGTAGATTTTATTGCCTTGGCTGATGCAGCTTTAGGCTGACACTTTTTAAAGATTCAGTTATCCAATGTTTATTTAGCAGAAAGTGTTAAGGGGATATCTTCCCCTTTCTTCCCCCCAAAACTTCTAATTTGGCTCACATTAATACTACTTACAGTCAGTTGATACAAATGTTTAGAGGTACTTGCTCCTCTTGCAAATAGCAAAGGGTTTTTTTCCTATTTGTAAATTTAATTTGTTTGTCCTACTGAAGTTCAGAGATCCATTACTTCATGCTGCTTGAAGCTGGGGTGGCAGGACCAAAGTTGTTAGTCATCAGCAGTGGGGGGGATTCCCTGCTTTCTGAAATTCTTTCTAGCTTTTTCTGCCCCTAGTGCAGATCTTATCTGAGACAAATGCTGAATTGTATTTCAAAATTTACTCTGTTAGGTTCCATATCTACCTCATTCTTAACATTGTCCCAGGCTGTATATGATTTTTTTGGGGAAAAAAAAGTTTTCCTTCAGCTTGACTTCACCTGCTGGGATGTGTGAAGTAATAGGTAGTGCCCCTGCAGACTACGGTGAATGACCTAGAGTGAGCAAAGCTAAAGTGTCTCTGCTTTGGCCCCTTATTGCATATCTCACTGGCCCATGATTGAATGTCTCCATGTGAGGACAAAACGTAACCCTCCCTCAAACCCAGTCAGCTTCACCAGTTAGAATTGGAAAGCTGGGTTTCTTTAGGGAAGATGAAGCCCAAACTGGTAGAGGCACCTAAGCCTTCCTGCTTCAGTTAGAAAGGAAGTAAATAAGACCATAAAAGTACTGCCCCGTTCAGTTCAGTTAGTTCAGTTAAACTAACAGGTTGATTTGTTTCCGAGTCCCTACGACCTGCACAGAATCAAATAAATTAGGGTTGGAAGGAACCTCAAGAGGCCATCTAGTCCAATCCCCTGCTTATAGCAGGACCATCCCCAGCTATATCTTCCTAGCTGAGGCTTTATCTACCCAGGTCTTAAAAACCTCTAAGGATGGAGATTCCACCACCTCTGGTAGTCTGTTCCAGTGCTTAAAGTAACCTCACCTTACACCGTGGAGCTCAGCCACTTCCTCTCCTTGTGCTTCATGGAGGATCTTGGATGGTGGGCCCCAGACACAGCATGGATTCTGCCAGTGTTCCAAGAGGGGAAGAGATGCCTTTGGGTCTACCTTCCACCCAGCTGTTATCTTCTCTTTAACAGTAGGGGATATCTGGGAGATCCCTATTCTTATCCCAGGATGAGATCTCTAGAGCAGTGGTCAACAACCGGTCGATCCTGATCAACTGCTTAATCAGGGAGCCTCTGACAGTCAATCTCAGTGTGGCGGAGTTAAACCCACAGACTGAGATCGATTGTCAGAGGTACCCCGGTCAGGAGTGGTGGGATACACACAGAGAGCGGCCAGGATTCAGTCCAGGAGCAGCGGGATGCAGGAGTGGCAGGACGCATGTGGCTGGTCTGGGCCATGACCCATGTTGCCAGAGGACCCAGGCCAGGTAAGTGCATGATCTCCCTCCGCTCCCCCTGCTCCCCCTGACTCCGGGTGAGTGGGGCTGCAGCTGGAAGGGGCCAGGGGAGGGTCGGAGCCTGGGCGGCTTGTCCAGGCACACAGGAGAACTCCCGTTGCTGCACGCATCTGGTGGAGGCTGGGGGGGCACATCCCCCCCCCCCCGATCTGTGCATGGGGCAAAGCAGCTGCTGCTGCGCGCTGGGCTTTGTGCCCCAAGCCCTGCTGTAGCTCGGGGCACAAAGCCTGTGGCACAAAACTCAGTGTGCAACAGCAGCTGCCTTATCCCACACACAGATGGGGGGGCATGTGCCCCCTGGGCCTCCGCCAGGGTGTGTGCAGCAGTAGGAGCCCCCCTGCATGCTTGGATGAGCCATCCAGGCTCTGACCCTCCCCTGGCCCAGCCCAGCCTGACCTGGCTGGGGCCGCACTCACTCCTGCCCCTGCCCTACTCCCTCCCTCACCGTGGGGTCCTCGATTTGCCCTCCCCAAACTGACCTGCTGGGGAGGTGGAGGGGCACAGTAGATCCTGGATTGCCTTTTACTTCAAAAAGTGATCATCACCTTAAAAAGCTTGGAGACCACTG